AATCATTTATATTCTCAATGAAAAATGCAAACCAGCATTCAGAATCTTTTTATGTGACGGTGGTTTCCTCATAAGTATTGTTCATATGAAATAGTCTGCACCGTGTTACGAAATACCACTGTGGGGGTTTCCTCTTTTTTTTGGTTTCGGTTTAACTAAGTAGCCCTGAACATCAGCAACTGCAAATATGATTGCAAATATGCCTTTTAATCAGAAAAATACATGTTTTAGGGACAACAGAGTTAACATTTTAGGTTGAGAATTACAAAGTTATGGATATTGATTATAATATTATGTAATATATATAATATGGGATATTAGGAACTAGGGAAAGTTGAACTTGTTCTGAAATCTCTCACGTCCTCTTTTGTGTGTTGTTATGGATACTTTGTGAAATGAGTGATTTCAATACTATTTTCAGTAATGATTCATATCTGATTTTTGCGACTTTATAAGCTGTCAATTCTGTGCTGTTTTGTTCACGTCTTTCAAAACAATGGCCTTTTGGACGGAAAGACCTGTGTGGCAATAATGAGAGCCGTGGGTCTGTGTTAGTCACCGCACACAACATGACTTTTTCACATCTGCACACCAAGCATGGCATTCACAGCTCGTAGCCCCGCCCACAGACCTGGTGGGTGAGGAGGGGGTGAGGACGGGGTGAGGACGGGGTGAGCACAGGACGAGGGGTGAAGTGTGGTTGACCTACTGTGTGTTGAGATCGCATCAGTTCTCGATCTCATTCTGACGGTGCTGCTGTGGGGCTTAAGGCAGGGCATATGTTCAGTCTGTGTGTGTGTGTGTGTGCGTGCGTGCGTGCGTGCGTGCGTGCGTGCGTGTGTGTGTGTGTGTGTGTGTGTGTGTGTGTGTGTGTGGGGAAAAGCTACAGCACAATATCACATTCATTTTCTGCTTTTATCATTGAATGCATTTGTTTCACATTGTAACTTCAGTAGTGCGTTTTCATTTGGATTTGAAAACAGCTATTCAAAATATAACATTTCCATAGAATCTTGAAACTTTTCTGGTCATTTAAAACTCAATTTAGGAGGAATCAAAAGGCTAAAACTGAATGTTACATTTGAAAACACAAGGACAATGAAATGATCCAAACAATATACATAAGCAACATACATTTCAATTCAATTTATTTTTGTATAAATTCTCCTTGAATGTCTCTTTAAATAGTGATATTAAACATGAATACTTTAAAAAAAACAAAAACATTTGTTTATAAAAAAGTTTCTTGAAAAACTTACGATCATGCACTCTTCCATTCTGGAACACTGTTTTTTTCTCATCTAGAGTGGATCCTTTCACGGCTAATTTCATTTCACACTACGGTCTGGATTTGTTCCATTGAGCTCCGTTATCAGGTGGGAGGGGTTAACCACTTTCGCAGATTGAAACGATTGGATCTGAGTTTACCGTCTGTAATGCGCCCGAGTGAGATTTAGCATTTAGCCTAGCTTTAGCCATCTCCTTTGCCACTAGCGGAGCCCGTGGGGAGTAGAGCCACAACATCTTTACAGCAATGACATTTGCTAAACATTTCTCCGGCTTTCTCCGGCTTCAGTTTCTTAATATTTGGATCCGAACCATTTGGATTACTTTACAATCACATTCTCCGCCATTAGCAAACTACAACCAACAAATTTGGCGCAAACTCTTGACGTTACCGTCACCTACCTACAACACCCGCCTCCCCTGCTCGCTGATTGGTCGGATGGAATTCAACCGAGGAAACGACCCAGACGTACATGTAGGAAATGATAATTGACCTGAGTTTATGGATGCTAAGGCCAAAGTACTGACAGTGTAACCACGGAGACGCTTCGCAGTTCTCCGTGACGTCAGATACACAAAGTCATTTCTCCCTGACCAAGGCCCTCTGCTCACATCCAGTGCTCTGTCCACCTTTCCTAAAAGTCTATAAGTGTTTGTAAAAGGCAATTGTGATATTTTTTGTGTGTGTTTTTTATAGCTAAAACTAATGTATATAAACTATATACTATTGGCAAAAAGGGGGCTATAGTGTGAGAACTTGTATGTGGACAAAGCACATTAGTATTTGCAGGCAAAATATTTGAAATTAGATTTTTTGATGAGTTTTAATTTGAGGGAAGTGTTGGTGGAAAATACTGAACACCAGTACAACATTTTATCTTTACCTGATAATCACGCATGGCAAACTCTCTCCTCCCTCAAAACACATTTTGCAATCAACGAACCTTTCCATGGAACTACACTCTGATCCATCTTTCCAAATGAAACCCCTTCATTTGCTGTTCCCACTTTGTCCTGTCACGACTTTGCTCACTGATTGTCATAATCATGTCAAGTCCTCTTTCAATCTAAAAATCCAGCACCAACAAGTGGGCCTGGGACTATCTCCGGACACATCTGTCTCGTCATGTCAGCCCACTAAAAGGAGATGTCACTGCACGGCGGATGAAAAACTATTCTGTTGAAGTGTTTTAATGAGCAGCTTGCATGTGAAGGCTTGTTAGGAGAAATTACTACTTGTCTTGTAAGATGTGATAGATGTCTTGCATAAGCACAGCACTCGGTCCCTGTCATAGAAAGATACATGGCATTCTCATCCCGCAAATGAAACTAGTGCATTGGATTACCATATAGTGTCTGTGAATTTCATGAATATTCACATTTGTTCAACATTTTGTATATTACTGTATGATTTTGAACGTGTGAAATAGCTGGGAGCTCGGAATTTTCTTTTCAATATATTTTCTTCCCACTCCTTTTCAGGCAGAATTATAAGGCCATGTTTATACCGCACATTTTTTGTTTATACTGTTTTTTTTTATTGTGTGTTTTTTTTATTATTAGATTTTTAATGCATTTTAAGGATTCGTTTTATTGTTTGTTTTTTCTGTTTTTTTTTGTTGCATTAAATGATTTATATTATTTAACTGCATTTAATTACCTTGTTTACTCACCTGTGCCTTTGCCTGAAATAAATGAATAAATGTACTGGAGAGAGCATATCCGACCTTTGTGAAATCTGTGGGTACAGTAGGTGACCTCTGAGCGCGTACACGAGTAAGGTTAAAGCTAGTAATAGCAAAAGCTGTAGTAAGTCAATTTCCACAAACCTTTTCAGAATGCTATGTTATACACCGGCACCACCAAGCCCATTTTCTTTCTAAATATTTTGACTACATACAGAGAATGTTTTGCTGATATAAATTGTGTTTCTTCTCTGTTCTGTCACTTGTGATGTCCATTGACCACCCTGAAGCTAAACAGTCAAACCTCAATGCAATAACAACACTTTTACATCAGGCCATATTTTTGTGGTGTGGTTGTTCAATGCATAACAGACACGCCGCTTCCTGAATCATTTTGCCTCCTCCGGGCTCCCGTCATTCCACAGAACTCTTTATGTAATCACAGAACTCTTTTATGTAATGACTTAGAATATGATATGTAATTGAGAATAACCAAACCAACTCAAAGTCTTCAAATTCAAAATCCAGTCGTCAATAGACTAGTCCAGTTACAATATTTCAGTAAATTCTTGTGTTCACATTTTGGAGGGGAATCTCGGAAAAAATAGTAATTTTAATGACTATAGCTTACAGATCATTTTCAAAATGATTTGGTATTTTACAAGCTTTGAGCTTTGTGGGCGACTGTGGCTCAGTTGGTAGAACATTGGCCTTAGAGCCTGAAGGTTGTGGGTTTGAGCCCACCAAAGACTTGATAAATCTCTATTTGCATGTCTGTTAAATATTAGTTTCACATTCTAACAGAACTCAAGCAAATGGACTATTTAACAATATTCACATGTTTCGTGTTTCATCTGTCTGGTACTGTAAGGTAGTGATGAGAGAGATGCTCGGCTATGAGAGCAATGTGGGAGCCTTGATAAACAATAGCCACCATTGTAGAGTAGTAAGTAGTGAGTCATCCATCCATCCATTTTCTTCCCTTTAATCCATTTCTGGGTCAGGGGGGTGGCAATCAGAGATGCCACCCAAGTCTCATAGCACCAGCCCCTCACTGACCCTCTGCAGGTGGTGAGTCCACAGGAGGACGGCCGCTCTCTGAGTGTGAGCATAGCCTTGATCTTTCAGCGGGGGCTTTTGGGCAAAGTGGGGTTAAGTGTCTTGCCCAAGGACACAACGACAGCAGTCATCAGTGGGAGTCGGTGGAGAAGGTGCAGAGGTGGGAAGTGAGTCATGTTTATCTATATATCTATTTATTCAGACCAAGATCACCCAACGGAGTTAAGGTAAGGTTTCAATCTCTCAACACGGTGATGACAGAAGCGCGCCGCTGAACACACTGGTGGATTAGGACCCCAATCAACACCCTCCATTCACTCACTCATTACATTCAGACCTATTGTACATGTTTTGAGTGGTAGGGGAGACCGGAGCACCCGGAGGAAACCTACATAGACACGGGGAGAACATGGAAACTCCACACAGAAAGGCCAGGGATTTGAACCCAGGACCGTCTTACTGAGAAACGAGCTAACCACTCAGCCACCGTGTAAAGAAGCTTCAGGTTGTCTCCAGCTATCGGCAAAAAACCTGTCTCTCCCTAACATCATTGCACCGATACTATACACACAGAACAGACAACCAGCTATCCATTGACTGAAAATATGAATCCAGATATTTCCTGGTATTCTTGGTGCCTTATGTCGTCCAACTTCCGTGTTTATCACAAAATTAGATAGTTACCATGGAAACAGTGAGGAAATGGGAAGTCGCAGTTGTCCGTAATATCTGATGAAATCGCTGCTTATGCACATTTGCAATACCTTTTTTCTCGGGTACCTCACATGGCCCCGCGCTCAGCACCGATGACGAACGCCATCAGGCTGAATGACGAGACACGGGACAGACACAGCCCTCCCCCTGCTTCTTACTGAATCTTTTACTTTAACACAGTAGAGGAGTCACAACACAGCTGCACTTTTCAGCGTCGCAAGACTCCAACGCGAGGGCTTGTTCTCTGTCTTTGATATGGAGAAGACGTGGTGGTGTTTTGACAGCTTTGGGTCGGTGATGGAGAGGGGGGAGGTGGGTGTGGTCCGATGGAATCCACGGCTGCTCAATGTCACACGGGGGAGGGAGGGGGACGACAGGCTGCAGACAGGCTGTGTGTGCGGAGATGGGCAGGAGGTCTGTTTACAAAGCCAAAGAGAAACTTGAGTGATTATTGGAGTCTTTCTCATACATTTTCTGTTTCATCCTGAATTTCACCTGCGAGGATTGTTTAAAGTATCTATCTCGCTATTTTTCTTTACCGGTTCTATTCAGTTTCATTTCAGTTTTTCCACGACCTAAAACACCTCCTAATGTTGACAAAGATGGAAACATTGTAATTAATTGGGAATTTTCAAGTATTTATGGGAATAAACCGGAATTATCTGGGAATTCTCCAAATGTGTTGTGGCTCGAACACGCTCTGGCTGCTCTCCTTCATATCATTGGGAAATTACCTTCTTTTAATGACTCATTTCTCTTTCGACTGACTTCCTTGTCAAACGCAATTGAGTGAGCACTATTAAACATATCCAGCAGTGTCTGAGTCCAACAAAGAAAATATAATATTGGTGATGCTAACAAAGACCTATAACTGGAAAAGAGGTATTTTTATTGGCAAAAATCTTATTCAAAGAAGCCAATAAGATGCTTTTATCCTCCACAGGTGAGACAGTGTTAGAAGTTAGTTACTGCTGAAGTTGTTGCACATAGAAAGGTTGAGGCGACGTCAGACACGCTCGCTGTTTACATTTTGATTATTTTCTTTATGAATAATCCGGTCATCTCCCTTTTTGTGCTGGGATCTTAATCTTTGTTTTTAATGGCCTGAGAGATTATGATTTATGTTTTTAATATTCCGTGGCTGTCAGAGTTGCCCCCAGTACACAGAGCACCAGCCCCTCACTGATCCTCCTGCAGGTGGTGAGTCCACAGGAGCCTTGATTATTCAGCAGGGGCTTCAGGCAAAGTGGGGTTAAGTGTCTTTTCCAAGGACACAACGACAGCAGACATCAGTGGGCGTCGTGAAGTAGGTCTCGTGGTGGGCTCGAACCCACAACCTTCAAGGCAAGGCAAGGCAAGTTTATTTATATAGCACAATTCATACACAAGGCAATTCAAAGTGCTGAACACAACAAGAAAGTATTAAAATCATAAATAATCACAGAACATTAAAAAGAAAGCTAAAAGTATAAAATCCCTCAGTTGTATGCACAGCTAAACAGAACTGTCTTTAACCTGATTTTAAACACTGTCAGAGAGGAGGCCTGTCTCACATCTTCAGGAAGACTGTTCCAGATTTTAGCAGCATGAATCTGAAAAGCAGCCTCCCCATGTTTAGTTCTGACTCTGGGCACTAACAGGAGTCCAGTCCCTGTGCTCCTCAGAGTCCGGGCTGGTTCATATGGGACTAACATGCCACTAATATATTTTGGTGCGAGGCCATGGAGAGACTTGTACACAAGCAGAGCTGTTTTAAAGTCTATTCTCTGAGCCACAGGAAGCCAGTGCAGAGACCTGAGAACTGGACTAATGTGGTCGTACTTCCTGGTTCTAGTCAGGACTCGAGCTGCTGCATTTTGAATGTACTGCAGCTGTTTTACAGCCTGTTTGGACAGACCTGTGAGCAGGCCATTGCAGTAGTCTAACCTACTGGAGACAAATGCATGGATACGAATCTCCAGGTCTGCTTTAGACACTATGTTTTTGATCCTGGCAATGTTTTTAGATGGTAAAAAGCTGCTGATGTTACTGATTTGATGTGGCTATTAAAATGTAAGTCTGAGTCCAGTATTACCCCTAGATTTCTGACCTTGTTTGAAGGTTTTAGGGAGAGAGACTGTAGATGACAGATGACGCTCTCTCTTTGTTTCTGGGGACCAAAGACGATCATTTCAGTTTTGTCTGCGTTTAGCTGAAGGAAGTTGTTTTGCATCCACTCACTGATCTGTTGGATACAGTGAAGGAGTGAGTCCACTGGTCCATGTTCTCCTGCAGTCAGTGAGACATAGATCTGAGTGTCGTCTGCATAGTTGTGATAGGAAACTTTGTTTCTGCGTATTAACTGACCTAACGGCAGCATGTAGAGATTGAACAGAAGAGGTCCCAGGATCGACCCCTGTGGTACTCCACAGGTCAGGGCCATATGGTCTGAGACACAGTTTCCAATCTCCACAAAGTACTTCCTGTCTTCAAGGTAAGACCTAAACCAACTTAGGGCGGTGCCAGCGACGCCAACCCAGTCCTCTAATCTCTATAAGAGGATCTCATGGTCGACAGTGTCAAAGGCAGCACTTAGATCTAACAAGATTAAGATTGAGACTTTGCCTGCGTCAGTGTTCAGCCGGATATCGTTTGTAACCTTAACGAGAGCAGTCTCAGTGCTGTGGTGGGGTCTAAAGCCGGACTGAAACATATCAAATGAGTTGTTGATTATAAGAAATCTAGTAAGCTGTAGGTAGACAACTTTCTCAAGGACTTTCCCCATAAATGGCAGATTTGAGATGGGACGATAGTTGTTAAGTACCGTAGCATCCAGACTGCCCTTTCTTAGCAGGGGCCTGATGACTGCAGTTTTCAGGGCCTTTGGGAATATTCCAGAATGAAGGGACATGTTTACTATCTGTGTGAGTGAAGGTAACAGACTCCTCAGAACAGACTTCAGAAATCTAGTGGGTAGTACATCCACTGCATGTGGAGGAGCTCAAACTGGAGATTATCTCTTGGACAGTTTTATCATTTACAAGTGCAAAGTGAGTTAGCTCAAAGAGCCTTTTTGGCTGTTGGATGGTTATCTGTGGATTGGAGACAATGGCGATTCAATGCCCTACCAACTGAGCCATTGTCGCCCAACACACCAATACAAATGTGTTCTATATGTTTTGTGTTTGAACTGTTTGATTCTCTGATCTGTGTTGACGATTCCAACGGTTTTGTTTTAGTCCTCTGAGATAACTACTGTTGTGATTTAGGGCTTTACAAGAATACATTTAATTGAACTGAATCAGGACATGGCATATTGCATATTTCTTCAGTCATTTGCTTGAACAGAGCTTATTACAGAACAATTTCGATGGTGACGAATGGTTTGTGTTGATGCCACGGCAAAACAGAAACGCCAATGACATGTTCCACGTAGAATCAACTTGAATATGGCTCTCATTATGCTTTTTGTGGCCACATTATGTTGAGTAACAGTGCAGAAAAGGGCTTGGAGTGAATAGATATTTAATGAAACACCCCCACCTCTCCACCCCATCCTCCATCCAAAGCTGCTGGTCCGACTATTGGAGGAGGAAGAGCAGTAAAGTAGGGCACGTCTGCACATTTAATGAGGCAAAAAGGCAGAGTATGACAAGCGAGTGTGTCCTTCTACAGCTCTGCTCTCTCTTCAAAGCCTCTTTCCCCGTCACATATTTTCTATTGAAGACACTTTTCTTTCAAATGGTACTTTTCAGTGCGTCGAAAAGAGCTGTTGGCCAAAGAAACGAGCTCTTTCTGCAATCATGATCATTTTGAGAATTGTCCATGGAAAGTCTTAAAGCGGATTCGTCACATTTCACTTCTGTCTTGAACTGAAATGAAATAGAGATAGTTAAACGATTAGTGTTGTGCAAACCTCAAAGCAAAGAAGTGTCAAATATTCAAAACTAGATTTATATTCTTTTACATCTATATTATCCCCCATGAGAGTTTGTAATGGCAGACGATTGGCACATTCTTTATTTTTGCTCAAAGTAAAACCCATGAACGAATGGCTAACTTGATCTACGGTAGAGCAGGGCCTTTGACGGAACCTCTTTTCACTGATGCCGCATGAAGGGGCGTAGAGCAGATCCATCTGGCAGGACTTAAAGGGGAAGTGAGTAGAGTCCATTGCTTTATTCTGAGATTCCAAATTGAACAAACTTACTCTTTAATAATAATCAGCCACGTCAAGTATTATGATATAAAGCACTCGGGTTGTAATTCATTATTATTCAATCTTTTTTTTTTTTATTTAGATCCCAAAAGCAAATGAATATGGGATTTTTTTATACATTTAACCAAAGCAAATATCAAGTGATGCCCCTGAAGAACATAACTATGGAGAAGACTTGTTACTCATTGGGATGCTTGGTTAGAAATACTTAATTTTTGCAATCATTATAGAATTATGAGTCAGACCTTTATCGGTAAAGATAAAGGTGCACTTTTTTTTTTTTATCCCTGTAGGCTAATTCATCCTCTGCATTTGACCCATCCTGATGTCGCTAAGGCTTACGTCCAGATGTTGATGCTAGGCTTGGTCAGGACTACCGGAGCTGGAGGATGTTTTTAGTGGTAGGATAAACCGGAGCACCGGGAGAAAACCTACGCAGGCAAGGGGAGAACATGCAAACTCCACTGAGAAAGACTCTGTTCCGGCCGGGATTTGAAGGATCCAGGACCTTCTTTCTCTCAGCCACTGCGCTGCCCTTCTTTTAAAAAACTTCTTCTCAGCATGTTTGAGTCAGCTTAAAAAAAACAATAAATCAAAAACTAAATCAGCTGAAAACTATTCAATGATAAGTAGTTAAAGGTGCAGCAAGTGATGATGTTACCTTAGCCGTAGCACCAACTGGAAACCACTCCCCCCTCCCGTCGCCTCTCCACCAAACTAAACATGCAGCATTTTCTTTTCTTTGTCACAACAGGGAGAGTGGGCGGCAAACGTGAAATTGGCATTTTCTGTTCAGCCATTTTAGGTTTCAGAAAATCCGTTAACTCTGGGGCACTCGCGAGAAACAGGAAGAGGGTGAAAGGGGTAAACGCATCCCATTGGTTCGTTGGTGATGAACGAATTCCATTGGTTTATTTTCATTGGTCCGCTCCAAAATATTCGTTATTAATTTTTGGAGACTACAGGCATTTGGTCAATTACATAACTTTTTGAAAACACATGATAACTTGATACTTTTAGAGTTTAGAGACGTTAACCCACAATTGTTACCAGGGCGGCGCATGAACATGCTGCGGCTTCTCTCTCTCTTGACAAGGTGACGTTTCTACCCTTTTCTGCAAACTGCATTTGCAGTTTTTGTGATCCGCATTGTTTTGCAAGATGTTGTTGTACATCTTTGCCATGTTTTTTATGGAGTTCAGCGGATTTTTTACTGCCAAAGCTCTTTGCTAGCAATGAACAGAGGATGTGTTTTTAAAAGTAAACACACAGTTAGCATCTGAGCTAAAGGCTTTTTGAGCAGTATTTAAGACCTACAAATCCAGAGATATAATCTTCTGAAGCGCTGACAGGTCACCGAGGGCCCCACGCATCTGCAGCACAGTGGAGGCGTCACAAGAGGCGCTACAGGAGTCCCGGCCTCCGTTGTGTGCAACTTCTACAGAGGGACTGTAGAGAGCATCCTGACCAGCTCCATCACTGGGTGGCACGGCACCAGCACTGCCTCCTGCCGAAGGAGCCTCCAGCGCATCGTGAGAGCAGCAGAGAAGATCTGTGGAGCCCCTCTCTCCACCATTAAGGACATGTACTCCACCCGTCTCACCCGCAAAGCCGTCAGAATCACCAGGGACCCTACGCACCCATCACACAGGCTTTTCAGGGTAATGCCTTCAGGGAGGAAACTGCAGAATTTACGGAACAGTTCCAGTCGACTTAAAAACCGATTCATTCACAAGGCCATCAGGAAGCTGAACTCCCTGTCCTCCCTCCCTCCCACCCCTCCTCCCCCACCCACCTGTCCACAATCAAGGATGAGAGAAATATAATTTCAAACCATTCACTTGGTTTGACAAATAAAAATCTTGAAATATTTAAAAAAAAATTGTCTGGAAAAAAATCACTGACTGCATCTTTAATCCATAATCTTGATCAGACAGAAGCATATTATGTCTCCTTTAATACCTCCAAAGCTCTGATGCCAGTCCTTACATGGCTTTCAATCTATTTTGGAAGATATCTTTTCCGACCTGTTGGGATTGCTGCTAAAACAGGCACAAACATTTGCAACCCTTGGGGATATTTGGCCACTTTAAATACCCAACCTTACACGCTGCACACTCACCTCCAACTTAGATCCACCAGAATGTACCCGGAAACCGCCGAATATGTGGCTAACTACATCTTGGGGTAGGTTGCATTTGGTCCTCCAGTGTTACTAACCTTGCTGCGTCATGTTCACAGCTCTTTTACACCAGTGGTAGTCGGTAAAATTGAGAAGTCTGGTTGTTTTTGTGTGCTGTGGCATGTGTCTCGGAGGTGTCAGTAGAAAAAAAAAAACCAGCAAAACACCAGTAGTAGCAGGATTTCTGTGCCGCGCTTCTCAATTTGTCGACATTCTTACTGGAGGGAGCGACTGTGTGGTTTGTGGTCAGGGTGACATTGGTGAGAAGAGAAAAACAAGTGAATTTACTACTCTGGATGGATGAGATTTATGGACACAAAAACAACACATGAGCATAGTTGTTGTGTTGCACTGTATCCACTTTTAACTGGAGGGTTTAAAATATTAAGAAATTGACTCAATATAAACATCACACTTATTGTACAACACAAAAGCTTGCATACTGGGTTGTTTTTGTTCCAGTTTTAGTAGTATAGTAGTAGTAGTAAAGCAGTAGTAGAAGTATAGCAATAGTAGTAGTACTACTAGTATAGCAGTAGTTGTAGTAGCATAATAGTAGTAGTAGTAGTAGAGTAGTAGTGTAGTAGTTGTAGTAGTATAGTAGTAGTAGTATAGAAGTAGTAGTATAGTAGTATAGCAGTATAGTAGTAGTAGTATAGCAGTAGTAGTAGCATAGAAGTAGTAGTATAGTAGTATAGCAGTATAGTAGTAGTAGTATAGCAGTATAGTAGTAGTAGTATAGCAGTAGTAGTAGTAGTATAGCAGTATAGTAGTAGTAGTAGTATAGCAGTAGTAGTAGTATAGCAGTATAGTAGTAGTATAGCAGTATAGGAGTAGTAATAGTAGTAGTAGTATAGCAGTAGTAGTATAGCAGTAGTAGTAGTAGTATAGCAGTAGTAGTAGTAGTATAGCAGTATAGTAGTAGTAGTAGTATAGCAGTAGTAGTAGTAGTAGTATAGCAGTGTAGCAGTAGTAGTAGTATAGCAGTATAGTAGTAGTAGTAGTATACCAGTATAGTAGTAGTAGTAGCAGTAGTAGTAGTATAGTAGTAGTATAGCAGCAGTAGTAGTAGTATAGCAGCAGTAGTAGTATAGCAGTAGTAGTAGTAGTAGTATAGCAGTATAGTAGTAGTATAGCAGTAGTAGTAGTAGTAGTAGTATAGCAGTAGTAGTAGTAGTAAAGCAGTAGTAGTATAGCAGTAGTAGTAGTAGTAAAGCAGTAGTAGTATAGCAGTAGTAGTAATAGTAGTAGTAGTATAGCAGCAGTAGTAGTAGTAGTAATAGTAGTAGTAGTATAGCAGTAGTAGTATTGGGGCTCAAGATAGTAGTACCTGTAGTACTTTTGTACTTTTGTTGTGGATTTGTCCGGATTACTAAATCAAATTGAAGTTTGAGTTAAACCAGTGTCTGTCTTGTTAAAGCTGAGACGCTACATTTTTAATCTGCAAAATATTGAACTAAAATAAAATCTCTAACTCGATCAAAACTCTCACTATCAGTTTACTTCTTTCACAGTTTTCACATGCGCGTGTTTTCACATCTTCAACTTCCCAAACGATAGGACAGGACCACTCTCAAACAGCCAATCAGCTCGCAGCCCAAAGCCTCCAAATGTGACTTTAGATTCTTTCTTTCTTATGATGATGAATCAAAAACATGACGTAATTACAACACATACATTAACTGAGAAAAGTGCTCTCCACAGGCAGAGGGGACGAAGGAGGAGGTAGGAAGGAAGAGGAGCAGGAGACAGAAGCTCGTCTGGTGCCTCTCAGAGTGTGGCTGATTGTCCCTGATTGGAGAGCAGCTCCTGGGGGGGGGGGGGGGGGCGACAGTCACGCTGCTGCCTCTCAGACAAACACCATCCACCAACACGGAGCTGCTCGGACATCATGTATTCAGCAGCTTTCAGGTTCACAGGTGACTACATGGTTTACTCCCTGGCCAGATTAAGATGAAGATGAAGAGATCCTTTATTCGTCCCACAGTGGGGAAATTTCAGTGTTGCATCACAAGTTATAGAACAGTAGGAAAGAGGAGCACACTGCACAAGTTAAGTGAACAATAGCTATACTAATTAAAATAAAACAAAATCTCTAACTCTAGCATCGATAAAAGTATAAAATCTCTCATTATAATCTTGAAAATGGTAATAAAACATGTGTAAAAGTATGAACTGTGATTATTACTCAGGATGGGATGAGAAATGAAAGAAGAATATCAAGTGTTGTGCGGTCATGACTGAATTTATTGTGTTGTAAAATTTGTTTTAGGGATAACACATTCTCTAGTATGGATTGCTGCTTTATCGCTCGATGCTCAATACTTTTCAACAGAGGTGCAACAACAGATCACGGAAAAAATCTCATCAATCAATCTTTTTTTCATTTCAAACTTCGTTGTCAAATTCAGTGTCATGCAAGTTCATAATACATTTCAAAAAATAAAGTAAAATAAGAGCTTCTCTCTGCACTCTGTACTTCTATGCTCATTTGAAAACTAATAACAAAACAATAATATATAAAAAATATGAGAAGCAATACAAAATCACAAAGAAAATACAAGGAAATACAAAAAAAACTGAAAACAAGAAAGTTGGAAAGGGAGTGGGAAGAAGTAAATACTGTTTAAATCCCGCCCCCAGTGCTTAATGTACAGTAGATAAACCCTTGTCATTTTACCACAGCAATATATTTACAATTCTAATAATTCATGCATAGATTACAGTTCAATAACTTATCAGTGTACTTAGTTATTCATGTACAGACTCGAGAATAAGTTTTGCACATTTCAACATGATTATATAAAATGGATCTGAAGCACAGACCACGTCTTCTCTTCAGATAAGAGTCTGCTGCTCATGAAGAACAAACACACCCATGGCTTTTTCACCTCTGCCTCGCTCTTTTCCTTCTTCTATCTGTGTGTTTATGTGAGAGAGGCACCTGATACCTTTAACCATACTTGGAGATGACAATATATTGAATTCAAGTGAAAGAAAACATGACAAAGTTAAACCTTTAGCCTTTTTTGGCAAAACTAAATAGAAATAAAATGGTTAAAAATACTTTGACTAATACAAATAAGATTCAGATTCATTTATTTGCCATTTGCAGTATAATTGTCACAAAGTCATAGTGATCACAACTTTAGAAGATCCTGACCTTCAGTTTTCAATACTTTTGACAACCCATATCACAATACACCTCCATTTGATCAGTTATAAAATAAAACACAATTAAAACACTGGGTTTTGAAATGTACGAGGGATGAAGATTTATTCCAACTTTATGTTACAGTTTAGAGATTTTTCAGATTTGGTCCGGGACGAAATGACACTTTCTAATCTCAAAACAACAACAAATTATAAATTAGTTAAGGTTAAGGGTTAACAGATTTTTTATACATTACATTTATATCTTTCCACACAATGTCCTCATTTCCTCTATATATTTACTTTTAATAGCAGGGCCCCAAACTGATGTGGATGAATGGCGTGTCTGTCACTGGTGCATATGGGGCAAAGAGCAAAAGGAAACTCAGCGAGTGTGTGGGGCCTCCTTCAGTCTGCCGTGTCCCTTCATCATCATACCACGCTGTAACCCAATAGCCCCAACAGTCAGAATTTGGCCGTATACATATTACACACACTGACTATCTGCCTCCTCTCGTCTCCTTCAGCTCCGTCCTTCCTCCTGTTTTACCATCTCTCCGATATCGCCGCTGCCAGTTTATTACAGGTCCAGTGCAGTTAATGAGAGCTGTGAGGTGCCAACAAGCTAAATCACTTCACATTGGCCCAAGCTGGCACTGTGACAAAAGTGCTAATGCCTTCCTGTGTATTTACCTCCAGACAAGATACTCGGGGAGAGACGGGACGTAATTTTCATTTGTCAGGGAATGAGTCACCCTAGAAAGCTGCCTGTGCTTCCTGCAGTCACACAACCTGCCTCAAATATGTCTGTCTGTGTGAGCGCTCATATTTTTGCTATCTACAATATCTGACCATTCCAATCTGGCATTAAAGCAGCAATATGTAAGATTTTCATGTCAAGTTGTCATTAAAGGGCCCTAATCTGTCCAAAGTTATTAATAAACTATGGTCTGTTCAAATACTTCTTTAACTCTTTACAGTCGTTATTCGAATTTAAAAATTAGTTTTTCAGCCCCGAAACCTTTTTATTGTTTTTCATTTCGATGTCCTGCCCTCCACCATTTTACCAATCAGAAAGTCTGTGATCCGGGCGCCAGAACTCACCGTGTCAAGCTAATCTTATTGGTAAAGTACCATGTGACCGCAGAACTAAAAAAAGTCTTGTTGTGATTCTAAAATCATTCATGACAAATAATAAAACCAGGATTTCTATCTTTGTGGTTATAGATTTGTTGACAAAACTCTTTTATATATTATGGTCCCAGCTGGTTTTGTCTGCAAATCTGGCAACCTGAGTCAGGGAGAGTGGGAGAGGTTGCAGTACCACTTTTGGCCAGATTTTTACATACTGCTCTTTTAAATTACAATTATTTGAAAACATGATGATAGTATTTCCATCAGTGCTGGGCCGAGTACTGACCAAGCCTTGTTAAATATGGGAATGGTCCATTCAGTTCAGATAAATGTATATATTTCCTCCGGGGAATTTAACCGATATTTGCAGAAACTAACTGTACTTTTCACTGTACATTAGGAACATAAAATATTTTGTGCATGACAACATACAGCCTCTAGTCTGACCACAAATATGATTCTTACCAAACTCACTATACTATAAAAGTAGCAGTAGTTGTCGTTGCCGTTTTGACAAAAGGATTACTTTTATGAGTTTAGTTACTATTTATTTGGATTTAACCACAACTAGACAAAATATGAAGATTTTTTTTATTAACTACTTCTAATTATACTTAGTGATTTAATTGACATGGTTGTTTCCTTGTGAAAATTATCTTTAAATGTATCTGTCCTTCAAATCCCGGTTGGAATACGGCCTTTCTGAGTGCAGTTTGCATGTTGCATATGTGCTCCATTTCCACCTACCGCTAAAAACATGCACACTCGGTAAAATCCTCCAGCTGCAGTCCTGACCAAGCTGAGCATCAATATCTGGAGATGGGTTCCCGCATGCTGTCACTATGGCGACCACTGCTCCTGACCGGCGCCCAATTTCTCGCGACAATTTCTCTCCGGGGACAAGGGAACAATAAAGTGCACATTTGATTGGACTTTAAAATGAGGTATACTGTGCTATGGTAGCCAAATTAACCTATTAATATAATGTATTGCTAGTTAATCAAGATAATAATTGAAAAATATTCCAGGGGACACTAAAAATGAATGCATTGAATATAAAATGATTTCCATGGTTACAAAAAACAGGAATTCGGAAACCCTTGCGTTGATGCTGCACAACCACTGTATATTTATAATGCTTAAGACTCATCAAAAACAGCAGTTACTCCATAAAGCACCTCTCTGTAAACTTGCCCTTGTCGTTAGATGTGATTAAATGGGGCCACACAGCGCGGAAACGAGTACACTCAGTAATGCTGCGACTGCATTGATTTTCTGTCTCTTCTCTTCTCCTCTGTCTCCACAAACTGAAGGAAGCCCAGTTTGAGTCTGTACAAGCCGCTTTACGACTGTCGCTACTGGAGGTCTGAGCTGCCCAACTTCAGCACCCCGCACCAGGGCAAGGGCGGGTACTGGTGGAGCCCCCAGAGGTACCAGGATGTGGGCACAACCTGGAGGGACACACACCGACATCAGGTGGTCCTACCTGGCAACACCGGCTTCTCCGATGTCCCGTCGAGCCTGACAGCCGGATACTGCCGCCGCCGGCCTGCCTTAGTGTGAGTGTTGACATTGGCTGTTGCTTTTTGACAAGCATCCTTTATAAAAGGAGCGAGGCTGTCAGCAGTTTTGGAGAGACGGATGACGGATTGGTTAGTAGTCCGTCCACACACAGGACTTATCACAGGGCAGCGGGCAGCAGCGGGCAGCATGGCCAGGGCCTCCCCCTCACACACTCACTGCAAACAATGATATAATATGAGGTCATAAATGCTTGAATCGAGTGGTTTTTCATCTTATTTTGAGCATATTCTGACTTTCTTAAAACAAGATTTGCCAATGGGACAAGGAAATTTAGTCAAACAAAAACAATATAATTTTTCTTTCTCTCAGGGAGCTGAGGCGAAAGGCAAAGCTCTGCATTTACTGGTCAATCTTTGTTCCCTCCCTCACCTATGGTCATGAGCAATGACCGAATACAAACGATCAGAATGAGCTTGAGTTGGGTCGGACACCTGTTCAGGATGCGTCCTGAACGCCTCCCGGGTACGTCCCCCCGGGAGGAGGCCCCGGGGAAGACCCAGGACACGCTGGAGGGACTATGTCGCTCAGCTGGCCTGGGGACGCCTTGGGGTCCCCCCGGACGAGCTGGAGGAAGTGTGTGTGGATAGGGACGTCTGCGTGTCTCTGCTTAGACTGCTGCCCCTGTGACCCGGCTGGATAATTTTGTGGAGCACTGGCCTTTGAGCCTGAAGGTCGTGGGTTCGAGCTCACCACGAGACCTTCTCCACCGACTGAGGTTGCTGAGGCAAAACCCTCCTCTCAAAGGGGCAATAAGACATTCACGAATAGCATTCACAGCATGTAGGCTCATTTCCTCGTCTGAGAGCATCGTGTCCACTTCCTGTTGATGTGATAGTCATGAATAACTTATATCCACTCAGCGAGAGTGGATAAAACAGTATTTATCATAATACAAATACTCTTTGGACAAATATACTGATTGTCTTTGCAGGTCTTGCGGTCATATTCTTTTAAACCTATTTGAAATGATATATATAGCTAATTTAAAAAAAAATCATACACAGGAAAATATCCTTTGGAAAGTAAGACAATATAGGAAAATAACTAAAATACTGCTTAAAATAAGAACAACAATAGAACAACAAAATATGACTTGACAAGATTTCTGCATATATGAAAATAATACTAGCCCCAAATGACCTGATTCTAGTTTAAAAACATACATTTCAAGTATTATTTATTTATTAAAAAATTTGAGAAATGCTTTACATAACATAAATATGTTATCTTAACAAGAACAGTTGTCTGGAAATAAGAAAAAATACTTAAAACAAGCTTAAAAACTCACTGCTATAACTAATCAAATATTAATATCTTCAAACTTGTAAAATAATCCTACATAACAAATTACATTCAAGCAACAAAAATAAGCATAATTGATGTTATTTTTAGTAAATAAATCTAACCATGATTTTACTTTTTTCAGTCGTAGTTTCTGCTCAGGCCTGGATCCTCCTCGAGCACATTTTAAAGGCTTTTACTTTCTCAAAAACCAAAATGTGTCGATCTTTGTCACTCTTCATGAATAATGCACTCGAGGCTGATGTTTGCAAACACTAAAGGGTCTTACCTTAAATAATGGACACAAGACAATTGATGTTTGTTGAAGCCAAATCCTCATTTAGCATCAGCTCTAAACTCCCATGTTTTACTCACATTTCTCAATCTGTCATAATTCCCTTTCATATGTAAAGTAACTCAAACACATCGCAAAAAAATAAAAAAATGTGATATATTGTATAAAATAATTGGTGCTTTTCATATGTACCATAATACTGTCTATCCTTATTGTTTCATATATGTGTATTTTATTTCATTTATTTTATTCTTTGGTCGACAACAACAACACATTTTACAATAATTACTCAACACCATTTTTTTATTTTTTTTGACCAAAAGGGTATAGGCCAAAGTTTGAGTCTTATTTTGCCGAACCCTATTCACAAAAGCAAGATCTCAAAATATCTACAAGATCAAACTCAGAACTGAAAATAAAACACAAAACACATTTGCAAACGTTACAATAACAAATCACAAATGTAAAGTTATGTGGAAGTTTATATTCTGAATCTCCGCTGCTCCTGTCTGTGTCCATCACCGCCCACTTCAAGATTTAGATCCATCACTGCAAGAAAATGACTAAATATGAGGTGATAAATGCTTAAATCAAGGATTTTTATATTAACTTGAGTATTTTCTGACTTCTTAAAACAAGATTTGCCAACAGAACAAGCCGTTTAGTTTCATTTCAAGTCATTTCTTGAATTTTCTTTAATATTTATTAAACACAACATTTTTGCTCGTCCCATCGACAAATTTTAGACAGTCAAATTTAGATAAAAAACACTTCATTCAAGCATTCATTCACCTTTGTATTTGTTATTTATTTATTTTATTTTTTTGCAGTTATATTGTTGAGATACACTAAAAAATCTAAAATTTTGGGAAGATGTATTCACCAAAAATAACATAAATTATGCTTATTTTTTAATGATAAGTTTTTTTCTTTATTTTAGTTTAGTTTAGTTTTCGTTTTTTGATGATTTTACTAATTTTAAGATACTAATACGTCATAAGTTTATAAAGAAAAAAGTCTGAGCAGTGAGTTTTTAAGCTTGTTTTCTTATTTACAGACTTCTTTTCTTGTGGTTTGGACAAAATAAATATGTTATGCTATATTTTAAGACAACAGTTCTTCTGTGATTTTTTTATTTTTAGAAAATCTTGTCAAACCATTATTTTCTTATTTCAAGCAGTCTTTTACTTATTTTAATTTTTTGCCCCAGTGTATATGTAAATCTCAATAGTAGTAATTATGCAGCAATAGCAGAACAATGGGCAGGTGCATGGGGGGTCTTACAGCTGTGCAGAGGAGAGGATGGTATATTGTTATCTGCCCCCAACACCCCAGGACCACCCCCATGACCTTGCCCACCGACTTGGAGTGCAGTACACCCCCACAGAGGTTAGCATCCCTGAGGACACTGACCTAAATAGATGAGCACATTAAAGGCTTCCACACCCCCCGGAGAACCCGGTTGCCATGGTTTCAAAATGAGTCTAACATTCGCAGCCGAGATGTTATTGACGGTAGGAAAGGTGAGGCGGAGCTGAGAATCACGCCTTTTACTTGTTTCATCAGCAACAACTAATCTCTGCTATTTTAGTTATCGCTTACTTACTAAATTATAGTTTGAATTCAAAGTTTTCACACTGAAAATACATGAAGTCAATAAATTATTCTGGGAGGTCTTAATTTAAAATTAAAGTTGATCAAGGGCAAACATTTTTTACACCAAGCTATCCATTGTTTTTCTTTGCAGAAAAATAGTTTCAAGCTCATCTTTTTAAGTTTTACTATTGGAGTATTGTCATTAAAAAAGGCTGTGAAGCTTTTTTAGATTTAGTTTTAATCAGAAAATGTGAAAATTAGAATGAAAATGTTGTCCAACCTACATGGTAGCTCATACTAACCTCTTACCATCAATGCAGGAAAATCAATATTAATCATTAAAAGAGTGACACCCCTGAATCTAATATGTGCGGACTGTCTTTTAAAACATTACATCTCAGCGCCTGAATATCTATCTATCTATCTATCTATCTTTCTATCTATCTATCTATCTATCTATCTGTGTATCTATGTATCTATCGGTATCTATCTATATAAAGGTATCAGTATTTATCAATCTATCTAGTGCAGCTGAGAACCGAAGCAGCAAAAACAACTATAGAAAGTGTGAGTTTTGTTTTGAAAATGTGGATATATTGTGGTATAATTGGTATCCTTGAAAGCTACTTACACTGAAAATTGTGTTAATTTTGAAGCATTTAATAATTGTCCCATTTATCATGAATGAAGTATTTGAGGCAGAGAATTAGGTTTGTCTCTTTTAATTCAAAGAATCACGTTATTTCAACAAAAAGAAGCAAAGTACTGAATGATCAAAAGAAGCTGTTACAGAAATGGGAGTTTCTTTGAAGCACGTACAATGGACGCTCTACTGGTTTTCATTTTCAACCATCTGTGAACAAACTAAAGGATCAGTGAGTAACAATCTGGCTAAAAGTGGAACTTCGGGACATCGAAATGTAAAACACATTTTGAAATCCAAAAATCTCTGAACTACTGTAATCAGTTAAACAAGTATTGGAAAAAGCATGATTTATTACTGCCCTTTGACAGATTAGGGCCATTTAATGACTTAACATGAAAATCTTACATATTACTACTTATTTAATATCCACCTGTAGAGCGCAGTTCTATTCCTTAAAAAAACAAAAACAAATCCTCGCTCCTTGTTAGAATTCCAAGATGTATTGAAAATATGAACTTAAACAAACCCATGAGAAAACATAATAGTTTGAAGAATTGAGTACATTTTAATTGCCTTAAAAAGAGATTTTCTGGGACAAAGAAAAATTATCTTGATTCAAAAAGACGCAAGAAATGTCTTCCTTGGAATGAGAAAATAAAGGATCAATTCTTGAATTAAGACTAAATGGTCTTGTCCCATTGGCAAATCTAGTCAGAATGTACTAACATTATCATAAAAAACATTCAATTCAAGCCATTGTTACTTTCTATTTTATAGTTTTTGCAGTGTATGAGTACTCGCTTTGTCTCAAACTGTCAAAGTAACTCCAGGAAAAGCCGGGTTTTTCACCTTTTCTGTACAAAATCAGTTACAGTCATTGATGGGAGAGGAAAAACTACGTAACCTTGGATAACTTAAAGAGCAAATGTAACACATAGGGCCTGGCGAGCAGCGATAGCAACGAGAAACGCACTGTTCAATGGCAGGAGAGGGCGCTGAGTGAAAACCGCGGTGATTGATAGACAATGCCAACAGGAGAGAGTGAAAAGAGCAGAAAAAGTGGTCGAGGAGAAAGAGCCAGGGGGCTAATGGGCTCGTGGCTAATCAATCCTGAGTGATGACCACTTTAGACCGGGCTGGGGCTGACAGATGTGGACCATC